AAATATTTTCTTAAATTGTGCAACTTTTAACAAACTAAAACAGACTACCTTTGCAGAGATTTCAACCTTAATACATTATTTACTTTCTTTTCAAAGGAGAAACTACACCTGCATTGAAATACTGTACTACATTATCAAAGTTAACTTACTACTCTCTCATTGTCAGCTCCCCAGGTTAGCACAGAATGTTCCGTCTTATACTTGCCCTAGAAAAAACATTTCAAAATCCAAAACAGTTAGCGGACAGAAAATTATTACAAGGCTTCCATATAAAAATCTGAAGTGCACTCTTTTCAGGAAGTTTTTAAAACTTACTTTGTATACCAGGAACTTGCAAATCAAATAAACTAAAAAAAGTAAAAATAATATACATGTTTAAACTACTGAAGAGTCCGAAGTTTTAAAAATATTTATCTTATGTCAAGATACAGAGGGTTAAGCAAATACTATGTATATGCGTTTGTTTAAATTTATAGTGAAGTGTTGCATTGATTTGTATTTTCATGTTGTATTGCAGTGTGTAGTATAACATTTGGAAAATCAATGTGTCAACCTGTCATGCATGTGCTCATTTCCACTTCATGTATTATGTACCTTATTGTATTTTTGTATTTGTTACTGTTTTTGACATTGTTATTTGTAGCTTATAAACTTACTGTGTGAATACTTAATGCATAATGTGTCCAAGTTCAATACTAACAATATTACTTATAACAAAAAGAAATAACAGAAGAAGAAAAAAACACAGAGACACCAAGTACCTCATGCAGTGGGTAAGCTGCTGCAAATGCTCCATTACTTATCAACCTTTTGATGCCTGTAATGATTAAAGCAGTGTAAAGTGCATTGGCAAAATGACTGGTAATTTCATTCAAAATCACTGATGATGTCTTTAAATCATCCCTAAAAGATAAGCTTTTTTATTAGTGATTTGTCACCTGTGTAGTATGCCTTTGATAATTAAAGCAACGATATAACTCCAGCAAATCAAAATTAGCAAGTGAACCTCTTAAGATAAACTCATTTCCAAGAACCCAAAAATAAAGATGTATTCATGAAATTTTTTCATAAAATAAAATTTAAATGCCTTCATAATTTTCCCCCTAATCCCAGCATTCAAGATGGAACAGTAACTTACCAAATTTGTCTTTATCAGTGTCATCGTATCTCATCCTTGCAAGAATCTCATAGGCCACACGACTACGCTGAGCATTGGTGAAAAAGGATTCTTTGTCTTTGATCACGAACCTAAGTGAGAAAAGGACATATGATATTGATTATATGGAAATTGGAAGACTTCATGACATGTAACACTGCAGATATATCATAAGCATTAAAAAGAAAATTCTTGAAAATAGATGGTAAATTATATGAAAATTTTCAAAAACCAAGCAGGAACCAAAATATTTTACACATATGAAACTTGAACATTAAACTTAAACATAATAACAGAGACAAAATTTACTTAAGTACAGTGAACAGTAACTGAAACTGTGCCATCCAACAGAAGCATGTCAAAATGGACAAAAACTTTGATAAAGCCAAAAAAACAATGAACATAAAGCATTGCTTAACAGGGATGTTATTCCAAGTTGCAAAATAGTCTTCAAAATAGGTATTTAAATAAGACTTATCTTGCAGCAGAAAGAAGAAAGTTAAAGAAGAATGTTCTTAAATGTATCAGTCTGTGTATAACATTTAACCAAAAATCTTAACTGACATAAATACATATATGTAAACCAAGGAATCATAAATGGATCTTAATTCATCTTGAGATGGTCAAAGAAAGAGATATAAACAATATAAAGCTTATATTATGTTTATATATATATATGTATATAAAGATATATGGTAAAGCAACCCTTACATCCCTCTGCGTCACCAAATGGAAACCGGCGGAAGAAGAATGAATGAATAATGGCAGAGATGAAAAAGAGAAATGATACAGATACTTATTAGTATTTTTTGAAAATAAGATCCACAGGCACCAAAAGCAACGTTTTTTTTTAAACATATACACAACTGTTTCACTTATAAGTTGATATTTACAGTATAATCTAATTTAATCCAAACACCGACTTCACTGAAAAAAGTATTTGTGAAATAATGACACATCATGAAATATTCTCTAACAAAAAGTCAGCAAGAAATTACTTCTAACCAGCCTAGTTCAAAACTTTATTTTAATTAACACTGTTGTGGTGTGAAGATGGATTTGTCAGTCAATTATATTAGTGACTGTCTTGAAAAAAAAAAAAAGAAGAAAAACTACACATGCAGGGATAAAGCCACTCCATGGGATATGATGGAAAGCAAAAGTGACAAACCAGGGATCTCTAAGGCTGGTGAGAGAATTTATAAATAAATAAATTTAAATAAATGAACAAAGAGGATATGAGGCCCACTTGCCAATCAAAATGCAGGTAGCAGACAGAGTATTTTTTTGTTCATAAGCCACATTTGAAAAAATTTCAAACTTTTCAAGCTGATGAAAAAAGTTTTTCTTGTTTTTGATATTATTTAGCAGGCTTTTTTAAGAAAGAACATCCACCAATTTAAATGGGAGTAAATTAATTTTAAAAGTAGTGGCAAATGTCAGGAAAAGGAAAACACTTTGATCAAATCAGTCTGCTGAATATCATTATGATTTTTTCAAAACATAGAAAAGAAAACATGGCAAGAGAGACCATACCAGGTTTCTCTTGTGTATAGATACATTTTAACATTGCATGTTAACTACATTTCAAGGTTTTTGCCAATACAATGACAGACCAGCTTCATGCAAGCAGATGATGCTTTCATCATGCTAGTCATGCAACTGTGTCTAAACTAACTCACTAATCTGTTTACAACACAATGCTTTTGCATGCCTATGCTACACAATATCCTCATATCAAATATCAAAGCATACATGCTACTTTTGAATATGTCACAGCAATACAAATGTAAGTTGAGTCAAACTAATAACGCATCAATTTTGGCTCAGTAGACTATTAAAATGTACCATGAAACAACTGTGTAAAAATCTGGACAAAATATCATGAAGATGGTGGACAAAAGGATGATATGAGTGAGTAAAGAAGGTAATTGAGTGCCATGGTAATATCTTAGTAAATATTTTACTGTGTCAAGGAAGATCCTCCACCCAAAAATCAAAGAATCCTGGTTGTATTCAGAAAAGGGTACAGCAAATTTCTAGATAATGTAGTCATTTTGTAGTCAAGATGAATTCAGCTCATTACAACTGGGAAAAATCAAATAAGCATGATCACATACCAAGCAGGATTCAAAGATACAAAGGGATAAAAATAAATAATCAGGTCCAATCTTCCCATGCACCACAGACAAAATCAAGAGATGAGAGAGCCAAGCTTCATGCCAAAAGCCAGAAGCCAACCATGCTAGTTATACAAATTTATGTTGGAAACCAAAATATTATGAAAGGGCACCATCTGTGTTTTCAAATATACATCCTTTCTGATTTACTTAAGGCCTTGCTCATCAGTTATGAATGTTCAACAGACAGAAAAAGCTAATGAGCCTTTTCTAGCACATCGTTTTTATGAGGTAGACTATACGCTTGAAATTTTTTAGTGGTTTTGGGTATTTATCTGCTAAATTAGCTGCATCAAAACAATATTTTGTACCAGGTTACTCTTTGTATCTTTAAGCATGCATTGAAATAACCAAACAGCAAAATACCTCAATTCAAGGATGGTAAATGGTGAGACCAAGACCTCAGTTGAAGAATGTAACCAGATTGTGCCCCTATTAATTATGACCTGCTCCCAAAGTATATCAAGAAGCCATTTTAGGAAAGCTTAATCAGGATGCTCAACCAAATCATTCACAAGCTGTTCAACCAGTAATGGGTTCTTGACAACATGCACACAAGACAGGTTTTTTAAATGGTGTGTGACTACTGACTGTTTCATCCTCTCTCTGTCAAAGGCAGCTGTGAAATAATTGGGTTCTGGCTTTATGATGTCCTCATCTACAGCAAATGGATTGGGGCAAGTTTTCTCGGAGTCATCTGTGGGGTCTATGTCATTTTCCTAAAATTATCGAGAAAAATAATGAAAAATATGATTCTAATCATAAAATAATGCATATATAAAGACTGTACAACACAAACAACTGAAAAGGAATAACAGACATATTTCAAGATAATAATACTACTGCAAGACAAAATGAAATTTACTGTAGTACAATTTCATTGTAGTTGATATTGTCATACGAAAAGACACTTCTTTTACTTTCTATAAGAATTTAAAATGTGTTTGGCTATCATAATCAAAAATCGTGTCAAAGTGAATAATGACAGGACTCACCTTGATAGGCATTTTCATTCTCATCATCTCAGCATATCTCAGCATTACCTCCCAGGGAATATGGATTTTGATGAAGTATGTTTTCTCATCTGTGGATTCCTGAAATATTACACATACATATTCCCTGACTTTTAATCTACACCTTTAAAATATAGAATACTTTCAAATGTGTTACTTTTTCCTCCTGAAATGATACTAAACTCGGCACCAGTACTTGCATAATGGTGGCAATTTGTTACTTTTGTCTGAAAAACTGTGCTGTAACTATTATACAAGATTAAAACTAGGTAGATTATTTCCAATTGACCTGTAACTGATTGAAATGATCTAAAACGTAAAAAATAATAAATTAGTACCTGTGTTAATTATGTGTAAATGTAAATATAATCCTGGCAGGATATGGTTTTAGCATGTCAGAATAAAAATAACTTTCTGCAGCATGTTCTTAGTTTTACTTACCTTTCTCAAGAAATTGCACAGAGACATAATCTACTGTGATCATCAAACAATTTAATTCACAACAAACATCCTACACCAAACATCTATATTTTGTCCTACTAAAACCACATTCAGTATTGTACAGAACATCAGTAAAAATTGCTTTGGATCTTTAATTTTGATCCAAATAACTGCACATATATATATATATATAGATATTTCTACACTAACACATTAAAGACACTCAAATTTTCTTTGGGATCTTTTTTTATAGGGTGGAAAATAAAAACACAGCATCACAAAATAAATATGGGCAATAATCATCGTTGCAATATTCTACAGATGTTATGTTAGCCAAATAATGACAAAATGAAAAATAGATGCTCTTCATAACTAAATAAAATAGTACGGATAATAATAACAACATAATCACTTGCCCCTAGCTAGTGCTACCACCTTACCGTGTTTGTCTGCTTGCAACAAATAAGGCATAAATCAAAATATCAGCCTTGAAACTTATTCTGGCTATTCTATTTTCAATCTACAGTCACATATGTGGGTAAATTGGACAGATGTATGTTTCATCCCCCCGAACAAGTCATTTTGATACATCACATATAGTTAGAATGATTCAAATTTAATTTAAAAAAAAAGGCTCATTGATCCTAAACCATGATATACAAAATGTGAAGTACCACTCGTCCATAGATTTTCTTTTTGAAATATTCCAGACCCTCTGTAGTCTTTCAAATAGAACAGCCTTTGATATATTTATAATTAATTCAAAACAAATGCAAACATATGAAAAGTAGGTACCTTCAGCCACTGTGAGCAAAATACAAGATGGTGTTGCTCTCTGTATGATCATATTGCAGACACAATTTAATGGCCAATTTGTTATACAATATATATATATTTAAGAATATAATATATTTAAGGATTGAAGATAAAAATCCAACAAGAACAAAATCCATGTTTGATCATTTTGAGGGAACTCTTATGAAAATAAATCCCCTCAAATCATTTTCTATTACTGACAAAAATATCTCTAAATGCTTATCAGAGCTAAACTATATGAAGCAATTACAAGCATATTGGTCATGCAAGTGACAAAGATGCAGCTTATCTGAAAACAATACATCGATTTCTATAAAATAAAGTATCAAGCTCACTGATTTATCTTCCGTTTCCATTTCGACGCCCTCATCCAGCAAGTTGCGTTTGAATACCATGCGTTTCTCTTCCTTTGATACATCATTTGACTCCTTATAGGCCAGCACAAAGTCAATTTTTCTAATTCCATCCTTGAACAATAATGTCTCAGCTGCATCCTTTTTCTGTAAAAAAAAAATATACATATAAATAAATTATTCATTTTCTTTCCTCAATGCAAAACGACTTTTCCTATAACCAGGCTAAAAACAAACCAAAGGATTTTCTATTTGGTTAATATTAGTGAATCAGTTATGTCCAAGGGGCTATAATTACTAATTAATTTTTTCCAATGGTGAGAGTAGCTTATCATAAATTATTGAAATATCACCCATTATTCCTTTAATGTAATCAGCATGATCAATTAAAATATAGATTATATCCAAACCTTTGCTGGATGTACATTTTCTATATCAACTGTTTCCACACCACCTTGTTTCTCTGAAATAAAAAGTTAAATCAAGGGTTATAATTAAAACATGAGTTGCAACAACTTCAGAGAAAATTATCAAAAATTAAGTTTCTTTAAGAAATTCAATAATTAGTGATTAAATTACCCGACTTCCTAGAAATACTAGCATACACAACCTCTGACTCAGTAGCAGGCATGTCCAATTCATGAGAAATCACAAATACTTTAGAAGGCATTATTTCTAACAGCACAGTACAATCTCTGAACATCTGACAAACTGAAAACTGTATTTTATATGACATCTCCTTAATCATTATACATTACATGAGAGCTGGGACCAGGTGCAAGTTGTGCACGTGAGTTAGTCACATTGAGATTTGTGTCCTTCTGCTAATGGAACTAATCTAACAAATTGTCATATAGGTATTCCAAAGCTTTTTATCACAAATTAACCATCCTTGTATTTCCTAAAACTAATGGGCACCAGGTGTTTACCGAGATGTACATACAACATAAAATAATTCACCAAAATGATATTGGATCAGAAAAAAAAGAAGTACTTTGACACAAAACAATGAAGGCACTATGTACAACACCATCCCTTGAAGTGCATTAAAAAAAGACATACGTGACATTAAAGCTGATCTAAGAGTATCATGTTTTAATTCCTCCTCAGCACGCTGCCTGACTTTCCCTAAAAGAGTTACAACACACAGTGAGGAACTTCAATACAACTAAAGAACATGCATTAAAGAAGTGGTTAGGGCAATGCATTAGAGGTTACATTGTGCAGGATGACTCAAAAGTTTTGAGGTGAGATAGTGTGACAATGAGCAAATATTGTGTTAGGTGTGACAACATAATTAGGTATGGCAATTGCGTTGGATGTGATGAAAAACTTGACAGTGTAAAGTGTTGACAAGAAGGATCATCTTGAATGATAAAACAAAGACACTGACAGCTAAAAGTGAATAGTAACTGGGGTTGGTTTAAAAAAAAGTCAATTAAACCCAAACTGAAGAGGTTTACAACATGCATTAACATGTGGGTTTTGCAATACAAGAAATTATCAAATATGTAGTATCATGCTCAGAAGTAATGGATATGTAAATAAAATAAACTATGGAAAAAGTAGAGAATTAAGGAACTTTGGTTTCAATATATGAACATTTCAGGGGTTTTAAATTATCAGATTATTAGACAGATTCATGCTTACTGAAATACTCCCTTAGAAACCTAGAGAAAGAGAGCTCATTTTCTTTCTTAGGACATTTCGTACATTTGGTCTCATGCAGCAGGGGGGCAAAAGGTTTAAAGCATGCATACAGCCAAGAATGTTTTACTGAAATGTTCAAAATCAATTTAAAAATGTCTTCTTAAGTCATCGTATAAAGAGATGTGAAGTTCATTATTGGTATATGTGAACTCCTGTTGATTTAATTAAAAATTACTATGTATCATGATATATATTAGCTTTGTTGAACATTATAGGCTGATTTTGGACACTTCAGTTGAAAAGTCTTGGTAATACATCCTAACTATAGCTTATGACTATAGCACAATATAAAAGCATTAGGTTACATTTCTGAATCAATAAATTCAGGGTCCTAGATTCAGGATTCTGGTAGATAGTAATCGCCCTGTTGGGAAATGAGGTCAGATGTGGACGTGGTAAATAAAAGCCCATGTGGTTGTAATAATGGGAGGCTGGAGAGGACATTTTAAAGTAGAGAGGTACATATACTGTGTTCAAAATATGGTAGTATATGGGTTAACATGGATACTTAAGCCATTGTTACATTGACTGCAAATAATTTCAGCTGCTAGACTTGTTACAAAAACTTAAAAACCAACAACCCAGTTGAATCCATTATCCATTTGACTGTTACAATCCAAACAAAAACCACAATAAAGATTAAGTTCTACAACACAAAATGTTTCTGCCACAATACCAGGTGTATAAAAAACATGCGAGCATATGAAAACGTGCACATGCATGTAAAGCACCTGTCTCAGCATCGTCCCCAAGCAGTGCAGACTGGTCACTTTCCGAATGACCAACAGCAGTTGGCAAGTCACTGTCCTGAGCTGTAAGACCAAGACTTTGAATTTAGAACTACAATCTTGGTAAAAATCCCAGGAATATTAAATAGCACATTAATGAATGCACGGAAGAGGTGTACATTTTAAAGAAGTCTGTTTAAAAATTAACTAAAAGGATTGTCGTTTATATAAATTAATGTTATATTTTCTTTAAATTAAGCAAGGGAGATGAGAATTATATGTGCAGTTAAAATGTCTGGTTAAAGAAGCAAAGAAGATTCCAATATAAATAATTCTTTAAGTCTTGCGTCTGTTTAAAAAGCACTCATAGGAATATCATTTATTTAATGTAATATTTTCTTTAAATAAAGCAAGGGAGATGAGAATTATGTGTGCAGTTAAAATGTCTGACTAAAGAAGCAAAGAAGATTGCAATTATATAATTCTTATGTGATGCACTTGTTAGATGATTTTTGTGAAATACATAAATAACAGAAATATATATTATCAAATTTAAGCAATATCTTCAGTCAGGATTAATCTTATTTTATCCCCCCAAAAAACAGGCAAAAAAATCCTAATTTGCTCTCAAAGCATAAAAACAACCAGAGCTAGTTGCACCAGTGCTATCAGTAAGAATGACATAATGCTTGATAAAATGCTGATGGCAATGGCATGTGATAGTATCGTTATAATGAAATGATGGCCACATCTATCAACAGGTGACACATTTGGGTTAATACTGCAAATAGCGGTACACACTGTCCCCCAACTTATGGCATAACAGGCAATGACAGAACACATTTACCCTTTTCAATATCCTTAAACTATATGTCATCCAGCTGTTTTACATATGACACACACCTACTACTGTGACATTATTAATTCAAATATAATAGAGAGAGCGTAATATTGTATGAAAACTATACATGACACACCCTTTAACACACAACCCAGTAACCACACACTGAAAATAAAGAATGCTGAATATATTAGTTTTCTTGTTTTGTATTGATGATTGATGCCATTACACATTAATGCCACCTAGGGACATAGGAGATATAAATAATCATACCAAGATAAAAACACATTATAACACTTAGTCTAAACATCATCAATTGAAAATTGATTGTACCTAGTACCTTTAGGCTTCATTCACATGGAAAGTCTATTTTCTAAATTCTATTTTCTATTCGCGGTAGGTTTAGTGATCACGGTCTGTGCCCTGAATATCCCGCGGCGTAATTACTGGCAGCGCGAGCCAGTTACTTATACAAAGCTGTAATTAACTCTCGGCTGATTCTGATACCTTTAAGCATGCGCAGTAGGAATTTAGCAAGTTAATGGCGACCGCGATTGCTTTGAAAAAATTTGTTTGTTGATTTTGTGCATATTTCGCGTCTCTATGTTTGAGTCGTCACACCTAAACTGATGAACTCCACAGCTTAGAGATACTACTGCGCATGCGTCAAGGTATCAGAATCTCCTCCGAGCACAGCCGAGAATTAATTACAGCTTTGTATAAGTAACTGGCTCGCGCTGCCAGTAATCACGCCGCGGGATATTCAGGGCACAGACCATGATCACAAAACATACTGTGAATAGAAAATAGAATTTAGAAAATAGACTTTCCATGTGAATGAAGCCTTAAGCATTAAATTGCTCAAGTAATATCCATCAAGCTATTACTGCACTACAGCAGACATTTACATGGTGCCTGTGTTAACATGTCTGCAAATTCACGGTATCAATTTATACTGTAACATTAAATGGTGCACTGATAAATGGAATACCCATTTATCAATGGGCTTGATAACTGGAAATTATACAAATGGAAATTGCACATATTGGCAAGTGTGTATGAAAACTGGAGTTCTGGGAAAAAAGGGAGCCAAGACCTTGTATTTAAGAAGTTAGAATTTATAAAACCCAATATATTAATGTATCCCTGTAACACTTCAAACCACTTTTTTGCATGTACCTTTACATAACAAAATACATGATGCTTAAAGGGATAATAACTCTTCGTATGAGATCTATATTTCACAATAAAAACATTGTGAATAACTCATAGAAATATAATATATTCTGTTTTACCACAAAAACGGCAGTTATAGCTATTATTCTGATATCTGAGCTTGTCTTTAGACCACGTGACCTCCATTGATGGCTATAGTCTGTTAAAATCTCTTAAGAGATTTTAACAAAAAACCAAACTTTTTAGAAAAAAACCAGGGACTACCTTTGAATGTAAAAATGGATTCATTAACCATTGGTAAGTATGGGAAAATTGTTGTTTACTCCAGGAAAATTCATTTTTTGGCCAAAATGAAGAGTTAAATTATTAATATTATCCCTTTAATAATAAGTATAATCACTCTAGACCTTGTATTGAGCCATGTGTACATAATTCAAAATTTTCAAAATATAATAATCAAATCAAAAAATACATATACTGGCTTCACACCTAGAGACAACACCTAAAAAATCTTATCAACTATTGATAACCCAGTTGGTACTGACTCATAATTAAGACTACTTGCATATCATATGTGTGGTCAGCCATTACACAGGCAATATTATAGAGATAGAAATCTACCAGTATTCTTAACCAGAGTTTGAAACTAGGATGTGATAGTAACTCAGCCTAAACTATCTCCTGCATATTTCTTGGTACAAGTAAAAAGAAATAAAAACTGTAGACCTAACTAAAATGTGTTGTCTGGACCCTTCAAATTGATGGCCAATTCTTTACTTGCCTTGTTCTAATGTGTACTTACTGACCAGCAAATTTGCAGCACAAACAATGATTTTTGACTATAATAAAATATTCTTAAGAAACCATGGGTATTAATCCCTAAATTGCACCTAGATTAGAATACTAATAAGAGAATGGCATGCATACAGTTAAGACGACATGCAACCAAGTTCAGTACAGAATACTTACCTGGGTCCATTTTGCCACTGTCCATTAGATAGGCAGGATTGTCTATTCCTTTTGGTTTGCCTAGAGATTAAACACATACATGCACAACATCAACAGTCAGACAGCAGGTTAGTAACTACAACAAAAATACAGACATATATGATTCAGCAGTCCAAAAATTGCTCGTATTCTGTTTTGACCCTTGCTACCTGTGCATCTTAAAATAATGATCATGATAATAATAAAAACCCAAGTAATTCAGAGACTGCTTCTCAATCTTGTCAAGTCCTAGTAAATGCCTTCTAAGCTCTACAGTTCAGACAGACAGAATTTTTGCATGATCTTATTACTCAAAATTTCAAATAAAATCAAACCTTTTGAGGCAGATCAATGCTAAATGAAAAATATTAAAATACTTCTCATTTCCTGTCACCAAAGCAAGTCAGTTTTAACTTTTGGTATTAATATACTATATGTTAGTATGATCTCATAGCAGCTCCATGTCCAAATCCATTGGGTGGCACAGTGCTGTGCTTTATGGCGTGCATATAATGATGGGTGTGTATATACACGACTGGCTATTTGAAATTATTTTACTTCTTATCAGTAACAAACATACCATTTAGGTTGACTGGTATGTTTGGCATCAGCAGGTAGATATTTTCTGATACCAAAACACACATAGCAAGGGTGCTTTCCATCAAAACAGCTTGACTTATTAAAATTAAATATTCCAAAGAATAACATTATTGTTATTAATTGGAATTATTGTTATTAATTGGAATGCTGCTAAAGCAAAGCAGAAGCAAAAATCATAGTAGCAGATACCAAGAAAAAAAAAACCGTTAAAGTTTAAAAAAAACCTAGACCTGCCTATGTAATATTGTTTCAGTTTTTTCTTTATTAAATTATAATCATCTTTTCCTAAACAACTAGTTGCAGCCCATGAGCAATAGCAATAGCTCTTTACTGCTCATAGACAACTCTGTTTACTTAACAACATCAGATGTATGTGTAACCTAAATGCTTTGAATTACGCCTCACAATTCAAGAATTATTTGAGTCAACATCACATAGGCAGATCTGTGGTTAGAGCTCAGAAAGTCATGCAATGATTAACTTACCATTATAAACATATTGCTGGAATTATGTGGTTTTTTCCTTGTCCATTGGATATGACATGCAATATGTCTTAAAGGCATATTTTTACAGGAAGGATTAAACTGGTTACATTATTAAGGGGCACAAAAATATGGGTGTTTCATAAAACCCATCATTGTATAAAAATAAGAAACACCTATTGAGGCAGATTGATTTCATTACTTCTCGTATTAAGATATTTTTACTGCCTTAATTCTGTGCCTCCTTAATATGCAATCAGCTTGACAGCAATAAAAATATGTCTGTAAGAGCAATGGTCATACTTGCGTTACATACTAATATATACAAGAAGCCATATACCAGTAATAATGCATAGCACCAGTAATTAATCAGTGAAGGGAACTTGTATATTCTCACCTGAACCTCATCAAGCAAAAGTCTGCTCTCACTTATGTACAGAAAGTAAATAAAGCACACTGCCACAAAACTATTGCCTAATAGCAATGTCACCATCAGCCAAGCAATGCCATGCAAGCCTCTAGCACTATACAGATGTAAGATAAAAGTATATATGTTTACAATATAAATTATAAGTATATATATATATTGAGCAAAATTTTATACACATATTGTGCAAAATTTTAAATATCTGTTTTTTTACACAGCTAGTTTCACACAAATATTTATGTTGGAATTTTAACAGTGTCATCTGTTTCATAACAACATAAAGACATCAAGGCAGAAATGCTTTGAAGTCATCATGTGACAATCTATCAGTATAAGTACCACAGTGGCATGTGACAACAGTAGCCATTCTGGCCCCTGGATAATGATAACTTGACATGCGACTGTGTCATTCCCATATGAAGATGATTACATTCACTATGACCAAATGTCAACTTGACAACACGAACACCAAAATTCTTTATACATATCAACTTGTCACTGTAATGATTTACTGTTAGAAAAATATCATCTTGACTTCAAATATAGCCTAGCTACTTAATTCATACTACAAACTCAGTGTCACTTAGCAAGTAGTAAAAGCTCATTTCCTTGCTGGCTAAGGCTGCGTTCACAACAGCGGACTAACAGATCTTCGGATCAAAGATGGGTGACCACTTGAATGCTTGTTGCTTAATCCCTGCAGGGAATCTATTCAGTGTCTATTAGGAAAACAATATGGCAAGCTTTTACCTGGGTTGCTATATTTGATCTGCGTATCTGTTAGTCTGCTGTTGTGAATTCTTCCTAAGAGCGGCATTTAGTTCACTCAATTACTGAAGCCACCACACTCTCCCAACCCTGGATCACAACAATCATCTATCACATCTCTGCTACCCCCTGATTAAGGTAGTGACTGATAAATATTACCCTTTCTCTTTTTAAAGTAATCAAATCATTCTTGTCCCCCTTCCCCACAATCCAAATGTCATCTGTTGGCAAAGACCAGTCCACAGCTTAATTATAGACCGACTGTCTAATTAGATGCTAATTGTTTAATTATAGTCTATTTGTCCCCCCCATATATCTGAACAGTTCCATATTAGCATGCACATGCCTTGTTACAATGGAGTGAATGCAAGTGCTGTGCTGGTCATCACACACACAGGAGGTGACTGTGAGATTCACGCAGCTAGAAATATTGCAAAAAATTCATCCTGGAAATACTTCTTCATCTTTTAGAACCCCATACTGGCTTTGCTACAAGCCTCCCCCTTCCCTCCTCCCAACACACATCCCATTTTAAGTAGAGTGCCTTTACCTTGTCCCTCAAATCCTATGGGTATTGAGCTTGGTGTGGTGGGAGGGACCTCCACTGGAGTGGGGCCAGGGTTTATAACTGGATACAGATTTTCTGCTGGCGGTGGTGGGGGAGGACCAGTCATTCCTGAAATAGAATACAATACTGAGATCAACCAGGTAGTACAAATCTGTGCATTAGATACATAAATAAGTCAATGTGCCCTAGGTTCAAGTACAGTATTATAGGACTGGTTCAGTTCTGAGTTTTACTGCAATGAAAAACCCTGCTTGATCTTAGCATAAAGCCAACCAGAACATGTTTTCATGAAGTCTTTATATTGATCTTGTGCCATTTTCCAAGATCTGCATTTTCATTCAATATGTTGAGCATATATATGCATCTTCTGTTGATGGGTGTTGGCAGATGACATACCCTCCATCTCCTCCAGTTTGATATTCTCCTGTGAGACAGATGGCGATGGTTTCCTGACACTGCCATTACCAGTGAGGGGTGTTTCCTCCTCTGACCCTCCCTTATCCACTATTATCACTTCTTTGTCGTAGTCCATGACTACAAACCAATATAAAACCTGGCTTCTTAGCAAATAATTCAATGTATCCTGTTGTCCCTGCTGCAGCCTTCCTTAGCTCTGCTCTACTATAGCAGTTGATGATTTAACGAACCC